GCTTTGGAAGACACATTCTTCCAATGATTTGCAGTTGTGGTCTTAACCATTATATTGATGGTAGCGAACCAGCACCACCACGTGTTTTGGATGGTGATAAACCAAATCCTGCATATAAGGTTTGGGTACGTCAAGATCAACTCGTCTTGAGTTGGATAGTCGCTTCAGTTTCAGAAAGTATTCTCCCTCAATTGGTCGGAGCAGAAACAGCTCGTGCAGCTTGGGACAAACTTGTTGCAGCCTATGCTGGTGGATCTAAACCATTGATTCGTGAACTTAAGGCACAATTGCACAACTTGCGCCGTGATAATGCAACTATTGAAAGTTACGTGCAAGGGGCAAAAGTTATTGCTGATAAGTTGGCTGCCTTGCAGCACCCAGTCACTAATGATGATTTAGTCGAGTTTGTTCTTGCCGGATTAGGTTCTGCTTATCGCCCCTTCACAAGGTCGCTTGAATCACGTCACGAAGACATCACCTTTGATGCCCTTTATGGTTTATTGTTGAATGACGAAAAACAATTAAAACGTGAAGATGCCAGTACTGTTATTGCCCCAACAGCACAGTACACACAAAGTTCATTCTCTACACATCGTGGACGCGGCAGGGGGCGTACTAATAGGGGTCGTGGTCGCTCTACTAGCCATGGAAGTTTACAACAATCTCAAAGTCAGCATTATGCCACTGCAACTCATTCGAAAACTTATTCAGGAAATCCACCCCTTTCCACTGATTATTCTGGAATTGTCTACCATAATTGCGAAGGAAAGGGTCATATTGCACGAGTTTGTCCGTCACCTAGGACTATGAATGGAAATCGGGTATCTGGTCGTCCTTCTTCAAATCTAGCAAGTACATCTTCCCAAACAACACAAAATTGGTTGATGGATAGTGGCACCACACATCATCTGACATCTGATCTTAACAACCTTGCTATTCACTCAGAATATCATGGTCCTGAAGAAGTTACTCTAGGTAATGGTTCCAAATTGCCCATCTCGCATATTGGTAAAGGATCTCTATATATTTCTGATAAGTCCTACGTTCTTGATAGCCTTCTTCATGTTCCCACTGCTACCCAAAATTTATTGTCTATTAGTTCTTTTACTAATTCTAACCAAGTCTTAATTGAATTTTTTCCTCACTATTTTTTTATTAAGGATTTGGCAACGAAGGCAGCTCTTCACAAAGGACCGTATGAGGGAGGTCTATACTCCCTTCCGATATGGACATCAATTTCTTCACCATCTTCATATGCTGCTTCACTTGGTGTTTGGCATGCGCGCTTGGCTCATGCGTCTTATCCTATAGTTCGTCGGGCTTTGCCTTCTAGTAAAATTATTTCGTCTAGTTGTGGGTCTTCTAGTTTGTGTCCAATTTGTGCTGTTAGCAAGAGTCATAAAATTCCTTTTGTTGATTCTAGTTTTCAGGCCACAGGCCCTTTAGATTTGATTTGTTCGGATGTTTGGGGTCCAGCACCTGTTATTTCGAATGATGGATACAAATATTATGTTATTTTCTTTGATCATTATAGCAAATACACATGGATCTATTTTCTTAAGTTCAAGTCTGAAGTTCTTTCCGTTTTTATTCAATTTCGAAAAATTGTGGAAAAATACTTTGGTCGTCCGATTAAGAGCTTTCAAGCAGATTAGGGAGGTGAGTTTCAAGCATTAACTTCTTATTTAAGAGACAATTTCAAGCATATTTGAAGTTTATTATATGCACATTTTTAGTGAATTTCTTAACAAATATACAGAGTTCAGACCAAACTTACTAGGTTTTGCCGAACTCATACCTTCCATGTTATCTCCGCCCCTGCGGCAAGAACATGGGGGAAAAGTTGGTAACAATTCAATATTGACTCTTCAGTCTCTTGTAGCACAAAACTCAAACTGAAAATTAAGAAACTGCAGTCTAAATATATAGTATGATATATTTTGAATTGTGAACACACAACACCTTTTTTTTCTACATAAATCCATAGCACAGAGAATTAAGAATATAACCTTTTTGTAACCACTTGTCAGTGGTGTAACAACGACGACAACAACAACAACAGCAACAGCGTACCAAGTGTATTAAGAAAAAAACAAAGAAAACGACTGCATACAGGCTACAGCTCTACATGTTTTCCATACATTTATTAAATTTTTTAGCAGCCCACAAGCAAGTATGAGTTTTCATTGGATTCATGCATTATAAGAGCATCTATGTTTTCATTGGAAGCTGCAGATACTCATAAAACTGCAAAAAAATTCTAAACATTTTCCCAATGGCTGAGAACAACACAACAAAAAGGAATGGCCAAATAAGTGTTCAAGATGCACAAGTGTACTATGTTGGAGCACCTCTCGAGACTAATCACCTCATATAATATCCCAGTGTACTATGTTGGAGCAACCACTCATATTCGCCAGGTCAAGTTATGTGTCCATGGTTTCGACCCTGTTACTACTAAAAACCTACATTTTCATGAATTTCCTACACCACCTTTTGAAAACCCCCCTCCAAATCCAAATGCTTCTCATAAATTTCCTAACCATATGATCCCTTTACTTTATGCAACAATCCATTTCCGTGAGCCAGTGTGCTCTCTTGTAAACCAACTCTTAGGCGCCAATCATCGGAGAGTGATTGTTATTTATGATTCTCTGATGACTTGGGTGTTGGAGGATATACCAGCAATTCCAAATGCCGAGTGCTACCGTTTTAATGGTTTCTCAGCTTTCTATATGTTTTCATCCTATTGGGAAACCAAAGGAAAACCTTTCCAACCCGAAACTGAGATATTTGAGGACATTATATCAAGCGAAAACTGTGCTACCCCAGAGTTATGGGAATTGTGGAATAAACAAGGAGCCCTTGAAGGGAAAATTTGCTCTGGAGAACTTTACAATACATCCAGAGTAATAGAAGGTTCATACCTTGATTTAGTAGCCAAAGAAACTAATGGCTTAAACCTATGGGCTATTGGTCCATTCAATCCGTTGTTGTCTGAGCAGAACAAAGACTCAAACAAACAACATCAAACCTTGTATTGGCTTGATAAACAGGAAACAAATTCGGTAATCTATGTGTCTTTTGGATCAACTACTACCTTGTCTAATAAAGAAATCGAAGAGCTCGCCATCGGGTTAGAGAAAAGCATGCAAAAGTTCATTTGGGTTCTCAGAGATGCTGACAAAGGAGATGTTTTTACAGGTGAAGAAAGGAGAGCTCAGCTGCCAGAAGGATATGAAGAAAGAATAAAAGGAAGAGTATTTATTGAAAGAGATTGGGCACCTCAGTTGGAAATTTTGGCACATCCTTCCACAGGTGGTTTTATGAGTCATTGCGGATGGAATTCGTGCATGGAAAGCATTTCCATGGGAGTTCCTATAGCAGCCTGGCCAATGCATTCAGATCAACCAAGGAATTCGCAGCTGGTAACAAAGGTCCTGAAAACTGGCCTAACTGTGAGGCATTGGGAACATTGGGATGAATTGGTTGCATCAGAAATAGTTGAAAATGCTGTGAGAACTTTGATGGCTTCACCTGAGGGAGATGAGATGAGGAAGAGAGCATCAGAATTAAGCATTGCTGTCAAACAATCAGTCATGGATGGGGAAGGTTACGGTGCAGAGATGAATTCTTTTATCGCACACATTACTCGAGAACTTTCTCATCTGAATTGACCAATTGATAGCTTAAGTGGTTCAACCTATGAGACTTTATCAATGTTCTATCACCATCTGAGTGGGTTCAGTGTCCACCCTACTGGCCCCCTTTTATGCACATCACTGCATGTATGTTTAAGTATAAAAAGCTTTTCTTTATGAGTTCCTTATATTTTCTAGTATAACTGTAAAGGTCCTCCTTTACTAGCAACTAGTTCTTTTGGCCAGTGATATAAAATATTAGAAGCTGTTTGTGTAATCTTTCAAGAACATTTTGCTTGTGACTACTGAGTGATATACTATGTCTTTAATTTTGTGACCTTGTATTTTCCATTCTGCCAGACTTCTCATGTTGGTAGGAGTATCAAATCTTGTTAAGTGTACTTTACATTATTTTCTCAACATTAATACTACTCATATTTTGCATCTAGACAAATAAGGAAGAGCTACGGTAAGCTTTCTTGAGAGATTAGATTCGAAATTGCAATTTGCTCTGTTGCAAAAGGAGTTGTAAAAGAGGGAAAATCAGAAGAGTATGATATAAGGTAGCACTGCTGGTATCTACTTTGATTCGAAGATGTTTATTTCAGATTTAGTGGTAACTGTGGAACATCTTTAATTCCTTAACCAAGTAAGATAGCTAACTATTTTTGAATCTTTTGGTTTCTTAGATGCTAAAATACATGAAATGTAAAACCATAGAGGTGAAACATATGGAATGGTAAATAAGTAACAATGATCGTGTTAGTTTTTTGGTATAAAAAGAAAATATAACTATATAGCAGAATCATGACACATTGCAGCAGCAATGAAGGTGTATGAATTTTGTTTGACATGGTAGTGTTACTTGAAATTATACGTATTTGCTTTTTACAATGATGATGATGAGGATGTAAATTCGACTGAGATCACAATGACAACCGTCTCTTATACTTTTCGTTTCTTCAAATAATATTTTTATGGAGGGTTTGCTTAGCAGCCTTTGCTGATGTTTTTTTCCTCCATCATTTTATATAAAACTCAACTGGTTGCTGTTGGTTTTATTGAGAGAAAACAAAGGAACTGATTGTGACTACTTCAAGAAATATATTATGCAGCAATATGTCAAATAAGAGAAGTTAAACTTTTTCGATATCTTTTTAGCTACAGTACATGTTGTGCATGAGACATAAACAACAAAGCTTTTTAACAGCCGGCCTGGCCTGCTAATACTAGTTGTTGGATTCATGCATTAATCATAATCCTTATAAGATCATCCATGTTTTTCACCTACATATAACTCAAGGCACTCCAGAAACTGCAGATACTCGTCAAATAGCAAAATTTCTAAAACATTTCTCAATGGCTGAGAACTACCCCATGAAAAGCGATGGCAAAAAGGGTGTTCAAGATTCACAAGTGGCTGTGGTTATGGTGCCACTTCCAGCACAAGGCCATCTCAACCAGCTACTCCATCTCTCTAGACTTATCTCCTTGTATAATATCCCAGTACACTATGTTGGAGCAACCACTCATATTCGCCAGGCTAAGTTTCCTGTCCATGGTTTCGACCCTCTCGCAGATAAAAAACTACATTTTCATGAATTCCCTACACTGCTTTTTGAAAATCCTCCTCCAAATCCAAATGCTTCCCATAAATTTCCTAACCAATTAATCCCTTCATTTTATGCAACTACCAATACTCTTAGACGCGAATCATCGGAGAGTGATTGTTATTTTTGATTCTAGGATGACTTGGGTAGTAGAGGATGTGCCAGCAATCCCAAATGCTGAGTGCTACTGTTTTAATAGTATCTCAGCTTTTCATGTGTATTCATTGTTCTGGGAAATGAAAGGAAAGCCTTTCCAAGCTGGAACTCAACTATACGAGGACATCCCCTCACTTGAAAGCTGCTGTACTAAAGAGATATGGGAATTGTGGAGGAAACAAGAATCCCTCATGGGGAAAGTTAGCTCCGGAGAACTTTATTACTCATCTTGAACCAATTGAAGATTCGGGAATTTTATTTATCTTCATAAAATAAAAGTACATCATAAGAAATATGAAAAATCGACAACTTTGCAAGAAAATAAAAGTACTTTTTTTTTTTCTGAATATAAAAACAACATAAGGAAAAACATAACAATAAAAAAACACAAATAAAATAACATAATTATTTTCCCCAATCAAATGATCAAACATTAATTTTGATCTCCAAAGAAGTCTTCAACTTCCAAATGAATAATATCATCAAGGTCACCAAAATTATCATCTTTTAAAGCCAAATTTGCTTCAATATTGTCATCATATTTTTGTGAAGGCCCTGCCTCGGCATCATTTTTATAAGTCAAGTGTGACTCCACCCGAGCATTAGAAGAAGATGCACCATTTTTATTTCCTTTTATTTTCAAGGAATCTTGATAAAGCCTAACAAAATGCTCAGCTGCTCGGCATTCATTCTTCCAATGCCCTTTCATGCCACAACGATGACAATTGCCTCTTGAAGGATTGCTTTGAGAACCCATATTGTTCTCCCTTTTGTGGCGACCACCACCACGACGATTATTATATCGTCCTCTGTCATTGCCACGTCCACACACATTATTTTGGCCTTGATTTTTATTTTGTCTTCTTTCAGACTGGCCATGTGCTTCAACCTCATTTGCTTCCGGTAACGGAGCAGTTCCCGTGGGACAGGCCTCATGATTTTTCAATAAAAGAGTATTATGTTGCTCAGCCACAAGAAGGCATGAGATCAACTCAAAATACTTTTTGAATCCCCTTTCACGGTATTGCTGCTGTAATACCAAATTTGAGGCATGAAAAGTTGTGAGTCTTTTCCAACATGTCCTCATCTTTTATATCTTCCCCACATAATTTTAATTGGGAAGTAATTTTATATACAGTAGAATTATATTCACATATAGTTTTAAAATCTTGTAACCGCAAGTGAATCCATTCATAACGACCCATTGGCAATACCGTTGTCTTAAGGTGGTCATACCTTTCCTTCAAACCAGTCCACAATTCAAGTGGATCTTTCACCATAAGGTATTCAACCTTCAATCCTTCATTCAGATGATGACGAAGGAAAATCATTGCCTTTGCTTTGTCCTGACTCGACGTTGTATTACCGTTGGTAATAGTGGCACCAAGACCTTTAGCGTCAAGGTGAATTTCAACGTTGAGTACCCATGACAAGTAATTATTTCCAGAAATGTCAAGTGCCACGAACTCAAGCTTTGATAAGTTCGACATGATAAAACTATCATAGAAAATAATTAAATTAGACTAAAATAAATAGTGAGTACACAAGTAATTAACAAAACTTTTTTTTTTTCAATGATAATAACATGACACATGTTATTGTATAAAGTAACATCAATTAGTAACTTAATGTGTTAGTATCAAACTTCCGAGCAATTTAAATGAAAATTCTGCCTAACATATAACTTAAATAATTTCTAGAAAAATTGCTAGACAAAATTAAAATTTAACTAATTTAAAATAGCATAATTCACTTGATGATTAGGGGAGAACATAAACTTTTTGGACTTATATATTTCCATTGTTTAACTACCAAAAATATACACACACTGTTTAACACCTAATCATTTCATAATATGTAGTATATTATATTAGAGTGATTAATAATGAGAATTAAGTATATGAATACATACCAGAAGCTTAACTTGGAAAAATCGAAATGATATTAGAGTTTCGTGCTGATAACGTTTTGTAAAACTTAAGGACAAAAGAACAATATAAAGAGGAAGAGAAGAAGACTATAAGACAAGAGGAACAATATAAACTAACATTCTTTCTTTCAAGTCTATCCAACATTATTCTCAACACCACTATTTATAGGATTACATTGAGGATTACCAAAAGGTGTCATAAACATTACATTAAACCTTGAGAATTACTACCCATTAAGGAGGAAATAAATCTAGGAGTTATGGTCATCCAATTAACCATATTATCAACAACATTACTACCAATAAAGGATGAAATTAACCTAGGAGTTATGATCATCCATTTGACCACATTATCAACAACATTACTACTCATAAAGGAGGGAAATTAACCAAGGAGTTATGGTCATCCATTTAACCACCAAAATGATTTACAACAATAACTTTCTTTTTTGAAGATACAAACGTTATCTTCAGTTGAAATGTAGTTGAAAATATATTATATAATTTAATGTTTATTTATAGGTGCATTAGAGCATTAAGATGAGGTAATTATGTATGACTATAGCCGGTTTGGTCGATCTTTTAAAATCAGCTTATTTAAAAAAAATAAAAATTATTCGGTGTATTTTTAAAAAATACTTTTTGGAAGTATCAGTCTATTTGAATAATCAATTTGAAAAATATTTTTACTAAAATTAGAACAATTAGTATTTGACCAAAATTCTAAAAGTGTTTCGAAGGTTAAAACTACTTCGCTTCACGGAAAAACAACTTCTACTTTAGATGAAAACACATATATTTTTCCTAGAAGCTTTGATCAAACACTTCAATTCTCTAAAATATGCAGCATTAGCAACAACTACATATCAAATTTTATCTCATAAGTGGACTCTAAAGAAGGTGGTCTGTTTGCAGTTTTATACCTACGAGGTGAAGAAAGAGATATTGTTATCGATATACCTCGACTCAAGTAAAGTATATAAAAATCAAGTATCCTGAGAACTTCTTATTTCTAATAAACCCTCGGCTCAACTCTTTAAAATAATCACATCTTTTATTTTAAGAAAATTCCCGACTTAACTTTCTAAAATAATCATTTTTTTTTAAAAAAAAAAAACTTCTTATTTCATTGAAACATGACCAGACAGACTATAAATTAGTATTACCTGATTGGTGAGGATATCTAGAATTTTCTTTTGTGATAACATCAAATAATGGAGAAACTATAGCAACTGCTTAATATTTTAAAAAACTGAAAAGAAAGTCTATAATGTCTGCTCCCATAACAAACATATATTAGTATTTTGTCCTATGATAGAAGATTCTAATAATAAAATAATGGTATTACTTTGATGCACAGGCTGGGAACTTGGATTACAAATAACATATTTGCATTTTTTTACAATGAGGATGATGATGTTTTTCTTTGGTAGCTAACAACATATTTGTAAATAACATACCATTATGGTTCTTATATGTACATATTCAGTGAATTTCTCGATAAATATACAAAGTTTAGACTAAATTTACTGAGTTTTGCTGAACATTGCGGCAAGAACATGGGAAAGAGTATGTAATCAACTCAATATTGACTCTCTCCAGTCTCCTTTAGCACAAAACTCAAAAGAAAAACTAAGAAGCTGCAGTCCAAACATATAGTATGTTAATATCTGAATTGTGAACATACAACAGTATGTTTTCTACATAAATTCATAGTATAGAGAATTAAGGGTATAACTTTTTTCGTAACCACTTGTCGGTAGTTCTACAACAACAATAACATACCCAGTGTAATCCCACTTGTCGGTGGTTTTATTACGAAAAAACAAAGAGATTTGATTGTGATTGCATAGAGATGCCTGTTCATTTTGTTGAGAAGGTATCCTATTAATGATTTAAAGGTTTTTAGCAGCCCACCAGCAAGTACAAGTTGTCATTGGACTCATGCATTATAAAAGAATATATGTTTTCACCTAGACTACATGTAACTCAAGACACTTCAGAAGCTCAGATACTCATAAAACTGCAAAATTTCAAAACATTTCCCAATGGCCGAGAACTACCCCATAAAAAGCGATGGCAAAAAGGGTGTTCGGGATGCACAAGTGGCAGTGGTTATGGTGCCACTTTCAGCACAAGGCCATCTCAACCAGCTTCTCCACCTCTCGAGGCTCATCACCTCGTATAATATCCCAGTCCATTATGTTGGAGCAACCACTCATATTCGCCAGGCTAAGTTTCGTGTCCATGGTTTCGATCCTGTCACAGCTAAAAACCTATATTTTCATGAATTCCCTACACCATTTGAAAATCCTCCCCCAAATCCTAATGCTTCAAATAAATTTCCTAACCAATTAATCCCTTCATTTTATGCAACAATCCATCTCCGTGAGCCAGTGTGCTCTCTTGTACGCCAACTACTAGGCGCCAATCATCGGAGAGTGATTGTTATTTATGATTCTATGATGACTTGGGTGGTAGAGGATGTACCAGCAATTCCAAATGCTGAGTGCTACCGATTTAATAGTATCTCAGCTTTCCATACGTTTTCATGCATCTGGGAATCCAGAGGAAAACCTTTACAAGCTGGAACTGAAATATTTGAGGACATTTCATCAAACAAAAACTGTGCTACACCAGAGTTATGGGAATTATGGAGTAAACAAAAATCCCTTGAAGGGAAAATTAGCTCTGGAGAACTTTTCAATTCATCCAGAGTAATAGAAGGTTTATACCTTGATTTAGTAGCTAAAGAAATTAATGGCTTAAACCTATGGGCTTTTGGTCCATTCAATCCGTTGTTGCTGACTGAGCAGAACAACGATTCAAATAAACATCACAAAACCTTGGATTGGCTTAACAAACAAGAACCTGACTCGGTGATATATGTGTCTTTTGGAACATCTACTTCTCTGTCGAATGAAGAAATTGAACAACTCGCCATTGGGTTAGAGAAAAGCCAGCAAAAGTTCATTTGGGTTCTCAGAGATGCTGACAAAGGAGATGTTTTTGCAGGTGAAGAAAGGAGAGCTCGGCTGCCGGAAGGTTATGAAGAAAGAATAAAAGGAAGAGGAATTATTGTAAGAGATTGGGCACCTCAGTTGGAAATTTTGGCACATCCTTTCACAGGTGGTTTTATGAGTCATTGCGGATGGAATTCGTGCATGGAAAGCATTTCCATGGAAGTTCCAATAGCAGCCTGGCCAATGCATTCAGATCAACCAAGGAATTCTCAGCTGGTAACAAAGTTCCTGAAAATTGGCCTAAATTTGAGACATGGGGCACGTCAGGATGAATTGGTTACATCAGAAATAGTTGAAAATGCTGTGAGAACTTTGATGGCTTCACCTGAGGGAGGTGAGATGAGGAAGAGAGCATCAGAATTAAGTGTTGCTGTCAAACAATCAGTCATGGATGGGGAAGGTAATGGTACAGAGATGGATTCTTTTATCACACACATCACTCGATAACTTCTCATTTGTATTGAACAATTGGTTGCACACTACCATCTAGTTAACATAAGTGATGCAACCTATGACACTGTATCGATGCTCTATCACCATCGCAGTGGGTTCAGTGTCCACCCTACCGGCACCCCTTTATGCACATCACGGCATGTATGTTGAGGATAAAACCTTTCCTTTATGAGTTCTTTGTATTTTCTAATATAAAAGTGGATGTCCTCCCAGATAAATAAAATATTGGATGCTGTTTGAGTATTCTTACAAGAACTTTTTGCTTGTGACCTGAATAACATAGTAGTATATTCTTTTAGGACTTCTATAGATTCTTGTCTTTAATTCTGTGACCTTGTATTTGATATTCTGCCAGACTTCTCATGTTGGTAGGAGTAGACAATCTTTTTAAGTGTACTTGACAATATTTTCTCAACATTTATAGAATACTCTTTTTTGCATCAAGACAAATAAGGAAGAGCTCTGGTATTCTATGAAGTTGTTCAACTAAAATATGAATCACTTTGTAACTATACTAACTTTTAACCTTTCACAACACTTTTTCAAATCTTACGATGACAAATTAAATAGTTAAAATGATCCATGAAGCTGTCAAAAAATCAGAAGAGTTTGACACAAGGTAGCTCTGCTTGTATCTATTTTTATCTGAAGATGCTTATTTCAGATTTATTAAGTGGTCAAATTAGTGGGTGACTGAGGAAGGTCTTCGACTCCTTGACCAACTAAGATTGCTAAGCATTTTTTAATCTTTTGTGTCTTACCCTCTAAAAACAAGCTAAATTACAGAAAAATACTACATAATGCAGTCTATTATGACTGCTCCTTGACTAAAGTTTGGTCCATTATGTAATACTCCTACTATATTGTCCTACGATAAAAGAATCTGAAGATAGCGGTGTTTATAAGAACCACAAAACTAATATTGATATTTCTTTGATTCTTGCACTTGAAATGAACATATATTTGATTTTTACAATTTTGACGATGAGGATGTAAATTCGACTGAGATTACATTGACAACTATCTCAGTATCTCTAATACTTACATGGGTGTATACTTTTTTTTTCTTCAAATAATATTTTTA